AACGTACCGAAGTGTAGAATCGGAGAAAGAGAGAGTGAACGATAATGTGTCAAAATTTATAACCGCTCTTTTCCGTTAGATTTCATTAATCTATGTTAAACTACAATTCCATTGAGATTTGTGTTTCCTTGGATAACAATCTGTGATCGGCACTGGCCGATTTAACGTTTTGGTGTGTTTCTTTTTTCTCTCCAGGCAGGGCATGAATCAAAGCGGCATGGAATCAAACCATGCTAACACGTTAATCATACATGAAATTGATTTATTTGTGTACCTTTAGATCACTGACTGAAAAAAAACGACCGAAGAAAAAGATTCGTTTTGAGTAAAAAAAAAATTCGAATGGAATCGCATAATAAAAGTCTGAGCATATTGAAAGCACTTCGGATATTGACGAAAACAGCCACCTATCAAAAGTAGTCTGCTTTTGTGATGTTCATTTCCTTATTTAGTTCAATTGCTTTGGGCCATATGTAGCTAGTATGAACTTTCATTGAATGTCATAAAATTGATGAAATAATTTTGCAAAAAAAAAAACAACACAAAAACCGTAACAAAAACATTCGCCCAAGAACAATCGTTTGAAGTAAAAATAACGAAAAAAAAATGTGTGACTAATGAAAAATCAACTCACCGTTGAACAATGATTGAATAGAAAAAAAATGACACATCCGTATCATGTTTTTTTTTCTTGCCATTTTATCTTTGCTTCTTACATTTGTAACGATGACGAACATTTCATTATAATTAGTAAATTACATACACTCGTTAGCTTAATTTCAATGCGGGAAAAAAAGCATCGTCGCTTCTGTTGACAGAGTAGTTTGGTGAAATTGTTCGTGCACACTTTGCGTTGGAGAAGAGTGCGAGAGCGCTATATATGAAACAATGATAGAGAGACGACCAATGGGAATGACGACACAAATGATAATATGAATACGCTCGCATCGTACGCTTGCTATACATTTTCAATGTTATTTCTTCGTTCATAATCTCGGGATTTTGTGATTTAATGCCCGCCGAAATATGTGCACACGAAAAAGATATCATTATACCCGAACCGAGCGAGTGATACAAATGTGCGACCGTATACAGTTTTTTTAATATAAAATAAACATACGTGTTGTTTGTGATATGAATTGTCAGTCATAAGTGTATTTCTATGTTTATTTAATTTTAGCATCACCCTACTGACAAATATTACCTCCAAAATATTTTCAAACTATTTTCGAATAAAGGATGGATCTTAGAGCTTGTACTGGGACAAAACACTAAACCTTTAGATGGCGCTGTTCTTCTAATTAAATTCTATTGACATTTAGTACCCGTTTTTGGTTCTTAAATCGTTCTATTTAGATCCTTTACGAAGAATACGACTGTGAATTTATAACAGTTTTTTTATATGACCTACTCCACTCTGGTTCTTTGAATGCAAGTGGATAATGGAACATATAAAGCCTTGAGTCATTGCTACAGTTTTTGTTGTATCTTAAAAATATTCGAAATTCTAATCGAATCTCTCCAATCATGTGGAAAAGAATTTTTTTTTGTATCATCTGAATAATTTGTCAGCAGGGAATTTGCTACCTCTGCCTCTCGGAGACTTTGAGTGTAATTCACTGTGGAATGGTTTTGTAAACACATTACAGATATATATATTTTTTCGGCACTGGTTGAGACTGTCCAAAACAAAACGGGAGAAAAGAAGTACAGTTTTTCGTTACTTTTCGTAAATATTAAATAGGCTAATATTAAACGGTGTGCATGTATTTGAATTTTATACATTAGGCAAAAGAGACATACACACTCTCTCTTGCACATACACTATGGATACGCACTCACATCTCATTATGCGACAGAGCCGCTGATACTGACTACTGGCGTTTACCTTCAAGCAAAATTTTGTCTGAGCTGAATAAATGTTGTTGTTTTTTTTGTTCTCGTCGTTTTGCTTTTATTTCATTTTGAAAATGTAAATACAGTGCTTGAGCACTAAGCAAGCATAAATACTGTATTAAAGTTAAGATGATGGCGTCATTTCGTTCGCACATTTACTTGCTGCAGACGTGCTCTGTTCGAATGAAGAAGCGTAGGCAGAGTGTGAGTGGAAGAAAGATAAAGGAGAAATTGGGGTTGCGCCGATGGATTTCTTCCAAAAGCACACTCACTTTAATATGGGGATCTCATTTAAAGGTATTTGACAATTCTTTGCAGGGAACACATTTCGTTTAATTTCAATTTCTCTCTTCAACCCTCTTGCAATCCCCATTCATTCTCGCTGAAATACACACACGTATTTGAAAAATGTACATATTTCACATGAGAAAATACCTGGCCCATCGACAAAGGCAACACGTCGCAACAATAAAAAAATATATATCGTACATTTGATGACTGTGTTTGGTAACTATTAGCGACACAAATATGATTTATTCCATGCACGAGATTCTATTTTATTTGCCCCTTTCTCTGACTTTCTCATGCTCAGAAATTTTAATTGCATTTTTTTTCTTCCTCTTTTTATTCCTTCAATGCTTGGCAAAAAGATGATTCTTTTTCCGACTGTACGTCTCTATCCAATACCATAACATTTATCAATTTATGTTTCTTTACTTGTATATATATAGTCTTGGACTCTCCCCCTTCATGGTGCCGTACGCACAATATCATAATTAATTAAACAGAGTTTACAAGTGATGGAATTTGTATAATGTAATAGATGTGTAATAATCTACTCTTTTTTCTTTATTAACATAAAGAAGAGAGCAGTAAAAGCAAGAACGGCAAAAAAATGGAAAACATAGTTGGCTTTGATGTGATCTAAAAATATACAAAATCAGGTACTTCTCATGCCTACCGTATTTAAAATGGCATATTTGTGAAAGAGATTCTATCTTGTATGCTCCAACAAGAATGTGATCTTGTATTTAAATTCATTTGTCATTCTATGACAACCAAAGTCATGTTTGCTGTTTGCGATATGATTTCTACACAGAAATAACATACAGCACATGTCACATTAGATCAATTATTATTGCTCACTGTTTTTTTTTTATTAAAAAATAAATGCCAAAAGCATGCCGTAAAACGATCAAAGCATGATCAAATGTTTGGAATTTAAATTTATTCGATATTTTCATCTTCAAAGAGTTCACAAAAGAGAAAGGTAGATAAATCAATAACTATAGTTAGAGAAAAATTCCGATAACTATGAAAAAGCACACATTTCCGATGCAAAAAAGCCGCACAAAACCAACTGTTATTCGGAATATGCAAATATATTAGGCGAACCATTCTTGAAATGCACAAACATTCACAAAATCTATGTTTTGATGAATAATTTATACGATCTATACTTTTGTATCTATAATAATCTCTATGGAGATGCATTACTGAGTGTGAACAAAATAAAAGTGTGATAGAATTAATGTTGCGTTGAGAAAAACCGCCAAAAATTTGGAAACAAACTTTATTTTCGGTGGTTTCAATTTCAGCAAGAGTTTATTTCTCATTTGGCGCGAATTAAGTTTCAATTTAATGTACATAGATATGCGCACTTTGTTACGAATTGTGTATATAACTCTTTTATAGAGTTGTTCTTAGCGGACGTTTCACAGCGAAAGTTATTTATGCAGAGGATTTTATTCACATTATAGAAAAGATATAAATTTTATCAGACTTTTCAATTTTCTGTAAATCCTTGAATTCCACTTGATCTTTCCTCTCTCTCTCTCTCTCTCTCTCTCTCTCTCTCGTTCTCTCCCTTTCACATTCTCTTCACGGTGCTTAGTATGCGCTCGCAAAAATTTATCACATTTTCCGTGGCAATTTCCAGAAGTAATGGATCGTTTTGTATTTCAGAATTTCGGATTTAAAACAAATTTAATTTGAAACGAAGAGAGAAAAAAAAGAAACACCAAAGCAAAAACAATTAGCTGCATCATAAAGCCACGTCAGCAAAATGCGTAAACGACAAACTTTGCGTACTTTGTCAATATTATTCGCGAAATATGGTATTTTGTGTGTGTATTACATTCTGTGACTTCACACCGGATCAACTATGGTGGTATTGGTTGTGATTTTATGGTTAACTGTTTTGTGAATTATAAACTTTTTGGCGTTTGAAAAATTTACTGGTGTTTTTCATTCAAAGTTAATTTCCATTGAATTTTACTACTTTGTTATTAAGTATAAGAAGTTCTCGCATATCTCTTCTTTCGCCCACTGTTACGAACCACCAGTGCAACATTTATTATTGCATTTCGTCTGTGTGTCCGTGATTATGTTGAGAAGGGGATGTGCGAGAAATCATCCGTATCACAACTGCACATCGCAAGCTATCCAGTTAGTGCAACGAGACAACAAACATAAAACATTGACACATTTAATTTACAGTGGAGTACTTTAAGAGAAAATTACTTATTTTTTTTTAGTTGACGTTGCGTTTCATACATTAAATTATCTAACGATAGTACATGAGAGATATTAATCGAATTCACTGAATGTGGATCACCACGCCGGATAGAATGTCGAGCATTTAACTGAAAATATTGTGTTCAACGTTTAATGGTCATATTTTAATGCTCATAAATCTCTTCTCGATTAGTTTTCCAAAGTAAATTCGACGATGTCAGTCGATTTATTTCGATTCGAGCCCTTGCTCACTAGAATGTTGGGCCGAAAATGTGCACATTTGCAGTATTGATATGAAAACGGTGTACGTTGCAGATCATGAAACATATTAATTTCTTTTTTCTCTGTTCTTTAAATATTCAAAGCTGAGTTTAATCGTCCATAATCCCTGCACCCAAACTCATAGAGAACGAAGACACAGTGTCACTTTAGATTTTAAGTTTGAAATTGAATATCTTTAAAATAGAAATAACTGGCGCCCGTATACGTATATTAAACATGTATCTTAACAACTATAAATGACAAGTAAATGGTTTGAAGAAGAAGAAGAAGAAGAAGAAGAAGAAGAAGAAAAAAAGCAAACTTACCATATAAAGTCCTTGCAATGCGAACAGAATGTTGGTTGTTTGAAGAATCTGGGTATGAAACGATGGTCCTTGATGTTATAGATGTTTTTCTTTTTGAGTGCACCTTTTCGGTTTCGGTGTCTAATATTGATTTTATTCTCCTGCTCTTCCGACATATCATCGTCAGCCATATTGATAGTGGGTTTTTACTTCTCTTTCTCTCGAGTCAGGGGCGGCAAACCCGTTGCTTCCGAAACTTTTTGTTCACAAGTTAAATCGACACAGAAATCGACTTCTATTTTTGTTTTTTGTTTTTAGTTTTGTTTTAGTTCTAATATTTAGTTCGTATTTTTGTTTTGTACAATCGAAAAGTGGTCAACTGCGTGTTCACTTTATATTTAAAAACTTTTTAATTACGTTCAATTTGATTAGATTTCCATTCCAAATGTGAATGGATGTTTGGTGGTGTATTTTGGCATTCAGTGGAGAAAATCGATCCGATTGTATCGTATATAATTATTTATTTGCGCTGATGATATATATAAATCTTCTCGCTCTCTCAATTAATCTTTATTGCTTTTAAATGAATTTAATGATTATGCTCTGATGAAAGCGAACAAAAAATAAAATAAATGACATTTGGCTGGAATTTAATCGTATTGTATTCCTTCGTGCTATATTTTGTTTCTTTTTATTTCTTCTATTCGGTGTTCCTTGCTGATATCACGTGATCTGCAATTAAAATTAACAATCAACACATTTTTTATTTATTCCGTTTGTGATTCGTGTGTGTTTGTTTTTATTTTTGTTAAATTTTCACAATGAATGTGGAGAACCAAATATGGTACAACTGCTTTCATGTGTTTTGTTACATGTACACACACACGGTCATAATCAAAAGTAAAAAAAAACAACAACATAAAAATGGCCAACTACACTTAAAGCAAAATACAGCCAGAACCGCAAATATATTGATGATGCTCGCTCGCTCTCAAAGCTACTCAGTAAATTTTTAATTAATTCGGGCCATAGCAAACGAATTTGCTATTTGAGTGAGCAAGCTTATAGAACAACATACACGCACGTACATACTCACTCACTTACATACCCACGCACAACCGATTCGAAACCAGCAACATAACAAAAAAAGAACGTAAATGAATTGAAAAAGTGGCAGTATCACAATTGCCGGAATAATTATCACAATGTTTGTTAAAATTCACAAAGTTACTTGATTTATATATCGAATCTAATACAAATATATCAGCCCTGATGTAGAATTTGTGTTTGTACTTGCCGGCCGAATGCGTTTTTTTAATATTAGTTTTTCACATTTGATTGATTTGAAAATATTTCGAATATGTCACTCTTTGGCTCTTTCACTTTCTCTGTCTATCACTCAAATGACATAATTTGTGGTCGTATCGAAAAATGTTGAAAGTATTCTTTGGCGCTCGCCGAACACATGGATTCGTTACGCAAATCGCTCTTAATTAGAAAAGTCGCGGCAAGTGTAAAAACGCTAGCTGTTAATTAACACTGATGTGATTGGTTGGCGATTATTGTTTTTCCTCGTATTCTATAAGTGTGAAAAAGGTCCACTTTTCCAGCCAGAAAATTGAAAAAATAGCCAGCAATTTTCAAAATGAATTCATATTTACCATTGGTTAATTACCAGTATGGCATGAATGCATCTACAATTTTTTGCACTCGAAAGACTTAATTTTAAATGGACTTTAACAACAATTTCAGTTTAAATGCAAAATTTAAATTTGACTTAACGTAAATGTATAATGAACAGCAGCAACCGTTCACTCACCATTTGAAAAAAAAAGTTCAAATGAAATCGTATTAAATTATCACGTTTGAGTGGCTCTTTCATCCTTGAAAAACGCATTTAACGAATATTATCGAGAGAAACACACGAAATTTACGATTTTTTTTCTCGTTTCGCATAAACCCAATTGGAAATAATGGAATGATTATTGGTTCAAATTGTTGACGCAAACGATGGGAAATACATTCCAATCTTCATCAATTTCATATATTTGCATTTCATCGCGGAAATGATGGGCTTAATTTGTTTATACATATTTGATATATTTTGAGGGAGGATGCTTGAAAATCTCATATTTCGATTTTTACGATGAAATTTATCCGCTTTTTTCTAATGAAGAAAATAGCCTCGATTCTGTAATAATAATGCCGGAAGAACGGCTTTTTCATATAATACGGCCAAAAATATAGGATTTGCAGCAAACATAGTGAAAAATCGAAAATGAAGCCGTACATTTGCAAGGTGTATATGCCCTTTTTATCTTTCTTTCTCTATCTCTCTGTCTCTCTGTCCTGTGTGTATGGTTTTAAATAATGTATACTGAAAATAAATACGTTCGCGTCATTCTGTGCTTTTTTTTGTCGCTTTTGAAACAGTATACTTTGCTTAGCTTGGCTGTCAAATTTCATGGCTTCTCTTCTCTACCCACTGTCTCTAATATTGTGCACATAATTCTAAAGTTGAAATGAAAAGTAAATAATTGTTAAATCGGTTTTCAGTAAATCTTCTTTTCTCCAATGTTTGTTTTATCGAGCGAAAAAAAACACACACATAAATCTGTAACATCTCAACGATAAAATATGTTTCCTCTCTGTAATATTTATTTCGTGTTTTTTTTTCGTTGGTCATCAACGTAGAAGGACGAGAAGTAAATCGAAAAATTACCCTTACCAGAGAGACCACCGTCAATGTAAAAAATTGAGCGGTTTGGGTCATTTGTGGCCCGACAAGAGGAATAGTGTTAACAAAATAAGTGCATAATTTACTGCTGCTAATTAGTTACACTATGTATTGCTGTTCACTTGTACATTCTTTTTTCATGCGACCATAATTTACTCGATTAATCTTGGGCAAATACTTCGTGATGGTATTTTAAACGACATACCGAGAGAGTGGGAGAGAGAGAGAGAGAGAGAGAGAGAGAGAGAGTAGAGAAAAAACTGCATCAAATGGCTTTTTTGAAATGAAAACTGCATTTTAAAATAATCTTTGAGTACTTCGAGTGCTGGTATGTGCAACAAAAAAAACTCACACACATATACAATGGACGCGCAAACGCAGCGAGAAAAAAAAACGCCAATGGTATTAAATTGGCTTATTTCGATCGCAGCTTAACCTACCAGCAAATTTACTATCGGAAATAATTTGATTTTTGCACTATACTATTTATCCCAACACCTGCACTTCACTTCAAGTGCTCGGTCCATTTTTATTAATCACACATTTTGCAAAGCCATAGCATGTAATGTGCTTAAATTAGATGCTTCAAATGAATAAAAAAAACCTGATAGAAAACTACTTATCTTGAATCCAAAACAAAAAAAAAATCAAGAAAATGTTAATGAAATCAATTTCTAAAAATTATTCGCTCCATCATCACAATTAATAAATATTTAATTGTGTAATTATAAATAAACGTAAATGCCAAGCAGATGGTGTCTGTGTGGCCGGAGAACGACGTGAAGGCGATAAAAAGCGCAAACATGAGTGAGTCGTACGACTTTTGAGTGAGAGTATGACGATTGTATCAGACAAATAAGGTATATCAATTTATACCTGAAATCAAGTCGACTTTTTTTTCGCATTAAATATTCGAAATCAACGTCGTCGTTGCACTGCAACGCAGCCAGATTGTGCAAAGACGACCAAGACGACGACGATGCGACAGGAAATATCGCAAATGAAAATTGAATTTTCATCAAATTTGAAAATCAACTTAGTCTAGATCATTTTCATCGTAAATGAAATTTTCGTTCGCATGTGGCTCGTATTCACGTCGTCATCGTCGCCTACGTCGTCATGTCGGCATAAATGATATTACGTGGAAAACACTTGTGCGATCCATAAAATATTTCAATATTTGATTTATTTCGATCTATTTTATACAAATGTACTGGCATAAAAACGCAATTTATTTCTTATTTTCTTGTGTGTCCCGGATTTATGCGTCACAATTTATCACACATACAAACACAAAATAGCACTCGCCGTCCCCGCGTTCATTGTTTATCGCGCTCTTCAAACTGTACAACATTCAATTCACAGTTTATTCTCTCCCTCACCACCACCCTGCTCTCGTTCTCCGTCATTCTGTATGCAAAACAACAACAACAACAAAAATTGTTTTTGAAGCAATCAAGGGAATATCTTTAGCGTTTTCCGTCCATTGGTATAACCACAAGAGATATACATGATTTATCCATAAAATGAATGATTTCTGTGGTGACTGCCAACGGCGGCTAAAACGCGATTTTCTTTTGTTTTGTTTTTTCTCTCTGTGTGTTTGTGTTTCTCTCATATTTTATTTTTGGTTTGCTTCTGATGTTCTATCAAACATTCATCGAAATATAGCAAAAATGATATTGACGTTTTTTTTAGAAAAAAATGTGTTATTGGCTGTTTATTTATTTTTCAAATGTAACCAATATTTTCATAAAATTGGTCTTGAATTATGGAATACTTGATATATTTCTGTTGATTGATTTATTTTAATCTCTGGTATTTCCCATGAAAGCATTTAGTCTGATTACTCTTGACCATAGTGCGTTGCAAGAGGGTGGTTTATAAGTACAATTGGACAACCCCAGAGAATAGGCGAAGAGGTAAAAATGAACAAGAAAGAACGAGCAAAAAAAAAAACAGCAAAAGAAATAGTGAATTCGTTGATTTAATTGAAACGATCGATAGACGAGCAAAATATGAATACGAAATATAAACTCATTGGTTTGATTATGGAACGATGTCAGAGAGCGCATGCAAACGTTAGTTATATTTGATTGCAACTATAACTATAATCATAGCCCTGGCACACAATAATTCTCTTATACTAATATAAAAATAACAGCAAACAATTAGCGCTACATCAATTGGTCGGAGTGAAAGGGAAAGAGTCTCCGAATTCTCGGTGTACATTTTCTTAGCCACTGTTTTGTATGCAATTTTTGAATTCATAAGAGGTAAGGTTCGTTGTGCTCTCGTCTTTTGTATTCTCTCTCGCAAACACACACACGCACACACATTCCTTCGCTCGCTCGCTCACTCGCACACATTTGCGTGTGAGTGTGTGTCCTATCACATGCACCAAAAACTATTGTTTATTAGGCTATTTTCAAAACTATATCGCATTCAATTGAAAACTGTTTGTATTAGGTCATAGTATCAAAAATGTAACACAAAACCGTTTCATTTCCATTTCACCAGGGTGTTTAAATTTTTTATTGGATTTTCTGTTGTTGTTGTTTTTCTCTCTCTCTCTCTCTCTGTCTCGCTAGCCGCGACGCGTCATGAAATAAAATAATTTCTTCACACACGACAACGACGTCAAACGATAGTAGAACACACTATGGAAAATGAAGCGGGCGCAAAATATAAACAAACAAAATTCAAATAATTCGGTTGATTATATAGAGTGATCGCGACGCGCGCGAAACGAATTAAAAAAAAATCAAATAAAACTAGTTGGTGGCAGTGGCTCAAGGAGAGAAAAGCCAAGCGTTGCACTAATTTTTTTTTGCTTGGATATGCGTTTAGCTTTTACAATCAAAAAACAGGTGCAACAGCTTTTGTGAATCGTTGATTTAGAAAATTACAGACCAAACGTAATTTTTCTTTTTGTTGTTCTTTTCGTTCAAACTTTTTCATATTTATTCGGTTTAATTTTATTTTTAGCCAATGTAGCATTTCGATAATGTATTTCTTTATTATTATGAATAATATAAAGCTTTCTTTTTTCATTTTTTCAATTCTTCTCGTTTTTATTTATCGTCTCGAAATCAAACCGCTTTGAGAGAAAAACAAACAAACAACAATCAAAAAATTTCACTCTGAAATTCAAACACCAAAAATCAACAAGAACAACAACAGTCATGTTCAAACCAAACAAAACACACGACCATCATCATCATCAACAACAACAACACAAAAAAAAAACGAACAAAAATGCTTTAACGAAGAGAGGATTCCACACACAAACAATACACTGTGAATAATTTTTGAGATAAAAACAGACGGAATAAATAAAAAGCACGTCTTTATCAACCGACCTGGCGATTCTAAGTGATTTTTATGCGATGGAAACGGTTTGATTGAAACCTAGAATGTTGAACATTGCAATGTGGATATACATCGTTGTATAACAACACACAAAAAAATATATATACTAAATAACACACACTCTCTCGTTCGTTCGTACGTTCATTCGGTCGGTTCGTTCGCTTAACGTGCCACAGCTTTCTCGACAATTCGTTTTCCATAGCCGAAACCAAACATATAGGCGAACTGAGCATGAAATGCAGAACATGTGTTTGTGCGTCTTTGCGCTTGAAAACCAGCTTGACGTATGTACGAAATGGTTAGGCTGATCCATTTCACAAATTGCACGGCCACTTAAATGTAAGCACGGAATCGAAGAAGAAGAAAAAAACCATGCACAATCACATACATAAATGTGGAGAGGCGCATTGTGAGTTGCCATTCGCGCATATACTTGCCAACATTGCCATTGCGATTAACAGTGGATGTTTTCGTTGTGTCGAGGATATTGCGGTGAATTGGCATATAAGCTTCAATGAAAATCGATTCAGAGCCAGCCTAATACTTAAAGCGCATATACATAAGCGGGTGCCACTTTACTTTTTACGAAATAAGAGTAACGCCAACTACAAAATTCACTTGTATTCGCTCATTCATTTTCTCCATCACATCTGATTCGCGATTCGATATTCTCATTCAGATTTTGAATCACATTGCGACTACATTTTCGACTCAGAGTTTTACGAGAACTTCATGCGAAACACCACAAATACATAAACATTTGATTGAAATACAGAAGCAGCCACACAACGCGCATTGCCACACCATCATCACTCGTCAATATACATGCAAACGCTTGTTATTTTTTTATTTTGATGGTATTTCCATCCGATTTTCCCGAACACGGGGCGCTGTTGTTATTTTTGTTGTTGTCTATTGTGTTGCATGCGCTTTTCCACCGTATCGGTTTGACAGGTATATATACATTCGAATGCTTTCGAACCGCTTGTATGTTTTCAACAATTTTTCCACATTTTAGGGATATGATAACATATCACGAGCAAAGGTGTATATCACGCATCATCCAGCAGAGACCCAGTGTTATCATTAAAACGGTCTCGTTTGTCGTACGTTTCTTTCTGTGTTATTTCATTTTGTTTTTTGTTTCGTTCACACAACAACGTTCACCGCTGATGTGATGTCAGAATGCTATTCCAAAATGTTATATTTATATTGTGTAGTCAATCCGTCCTTCATATTTTTTTCACTCTGTGTGTCGTTTGGAATGTGAAACAAATGATAATAAGAGAACTACAACAAATGGAAGAATTAGTGAAAGAAAATTATGTGCAACAAGAGGCAATACAAGAGATACATGGGCGCTGATTCAAGTGTGTTTGAGAGTGAGAAAGATCGCTTCATAAGCTACATGCCATAAAATATGCAATACCCATAGGGTAAATAAATGGCATTTACAATGAATTGTCGGTGTATCTAACCGTACATCAATCGAAAATGATACGGTCATTTATGTCTCTCTCTCTCTCTCTCTCTCTCTCTCTCTCTCTCTCTCTCTCTCTGTGTGTGTGTTCCTATGTGTTTGGTTGAAAAAGCAAACGGATTGATTTCAATATACAGGAACTTTCTCGTCAAATACAATTTTATTAGCAAATCGTTTAATAAATCGATCGAAATAAATTGCTTTTAAAATCAATAAAGAGAATAAATAATGACATTCGTATATTTGGATAAATAGGACAAAGAAAAGCATATGTACTCATGACCACACACACTAACACAGGATGAAAATCACAAGAATTCGCGCGTTCTGTCCTTTTCATTTTCTCACATTTTTTTTCGTGGTATAAAATTAAAAAGGAGAACAGAGAAACAAAAAGTACCGAGATGTTGGTTATTGATCAACAACATATTTACCACTTTGGCTACATTGGCATCATCATCATCTCGCTGGCTTTGCTGTGTCTTTCTTGTTATTGTTTGTATAGTGTGTCTCAATTTCTCACTCTGCTCTTGCTCTTTCTCTCGCGTTATTTCTGTGTTTTTTTTTGTTCGTTGTTCGGAGTAGAGCAATTTACTCGATTAAATATAACAAGATTATCAGACACTCACTGCACACACACATATATGTATATACTCATGCAAAATAGAGACAAGCACAGAAACCACCTTATCGATTTATTCAATAGTCGTTTTGCATATCTCTCTTTCTCAAGCGAATGAACGAACGAACGAACTTATAACAGAACGAAAAAAAAGCAACAAAAAAAATGTTTATACACAACATAGAGGAGCTCTTTCTGTATGACCGATTCACACACAAAAACCGAACTGTGTCAGCGTAACACCTCCCGATGTATCAAACACACAATATTATCTCTCTCTCCTGAAACTAAAAACGGCCCAACTTCCAATATAAATGTAACAGTTGCATACCGAATAAATGTAGTAAGCGCAAAATAATGTAGATGTTATGTGCTACAGCATTTTATTGTACAACGGTTGTGTGTATCCAACATTTTTGCGGTATGTAAATGTTGTTATTTGTTCCATTCGCATTGTGTATATGCGAATAAGAGGCTGAATGAGAATGAGATATAGACCGTACTGTAAATGCTGTACACTTCGTTTCAAGTTGGTTTTAAATTTCGTGATTTTGTTTTATTTTATTTTTTTATTTTATTTTTGTTGTCACTTCATTACGTTCGTTTTTATTTGATGTGATTTTATCAGTTGGCATTCCATGACATCGATATAAATGGTTTTCTTCTCTGTCTCGCTCAGACCGGACGTTCAAATCTCTCTCTATATATAGGCATGATTTGTAGTGCGCAGAATTTGGCATCCGAAATAGAGTCTTATTTATCGTGTACAAAGGGGAAGCATTTCAGTATTTCCACATGGGACGCATATTTTCGTTTGTATGGCGTAATTTTTGCAAAATACCATTTCATGTTTGGCCCAGAAGTCGATTTCATTCGCTATCATTTTTATTTTCATTGTCTCAACTACCAATTCGGCTCATTTTTATTTGCGTCAATTGTATTTTTATTCATTACATATTTCCATTTTTCTCACATAGAATTTTTTTTGTTTTTTTTTTTTGCATCATGATGCGTTTACATATTAAAATGATTGTTATTTGATTTCAATTTTCCATCTTTTTCTATCCAAAATAAATACGATGCATTGTTGTACGCATGTGCTGCGCGCATCAAATCGGCACGCAATTTTCGATTGCAAGCAACCAAATAAAGAGTATTTTTGCTCATCATTTTGGTACACATATTCTTACTATCGTGCAACTCCATTCCAACTGATTCTAATTATTCGATGAAATAAACCGTACAACATTCACATACATACACATAGACGCACACACTTACACATACACATGTGCTATGTATCGAGTGTGAAGTTTTGATGTTTCGCCTGTTGAATGTTGCCATACATTTCCTAACCAATACACGGGCAAATGGCGCAAATGGCGCTGTCATCATTGACTGTATAAAACACTACAGTACTGTCATAATTTGTGCGCTTGTATCTTGTTGGCATTTTTAGTTATTATACAACACAATCTATTTTATGCTGTCAGAATTTATATATATATATATATATTTTCTATCGTCAATTTTCCCTGTATCAGTTTTAATTTCAATTTTAATAAAATGAGTGCAAATCTAAATTTGCATAAAGTAAAATTTACTGTAAGTACATAAAACGTTGATTTAATCAAAATGAAGAAAAAAAAACCATCGATTTTTTTTGTTCATGCAATCGGAAATAATTTGTTGTTGTTGTTTTGTAATCGTTTAGATGTTGGCGAGAAATCGACGTGTAAAATCATTGTTTGATTTACGAAAAACGCGAAGATCGCAAGTATTTTTGGGCCATCGTTTTCGCCATTTCATTTCATCAGATGATCGCATTCGCATCTGTTTTCAAACATTATGGGAGCATTTGAATTCAATCACATGTTATTCGGAGGAGCAAAAATTTACAACACTTTTATTGGTTATGATAAAACAAACGCCACAAATCACCGATTTTATACGCATCGATGCGGCTGCCGAAATTATGGAACATATTAATGACGAACATAGCGTACTTGTGTCAAGCATTTGTTACATTCTCAATGAAATTGGCATCAATTATTTGCTTGAAAATAAAAAAAACATTTACATACAATTTGAATGTGATACGCTAACATTTCGTCCAAACCTCAATTCAATTAGTAACGTGATGGTTGAATTACTTGCCCGGCTACTGTATACATTCAGCAATCGTTGTCAAACCGAAAAAATTCCATTCACCAAAGACATTTTATACATATTTGAATTGTGCTATCAACGATTTGGCCAGTATGGTGATGTCATTAGACAGAATTTACACACATTATTGGCACTAACACAGGGAATCGGACGATTTGAACGTACACAAACCATTTGCAATTGTGAATCATTAATGCTTAGATTGATGGCACAGCACATGCATGACACGGATGATGCATTAATTGTACTTAAAATTTCAAATAGCATTTGCAAAGGTTTCCCAGAGAATATACCGTTTTTATTGAAATGTCATCTACTTGATCATTTGAAAGTACAATTGGCCAACACAAATGGGCCACGGTATGAAATTGTTGAAGAATCACTTTCGATTTTGGAAAATATTTGTGGCAATCATCGAAGCGACATACAAGCGGTTATTGATCATGATCTCATTTTGCCACTTATCAACGGTAATTTTAATTCAAGTTCAAGCAATTTGTTTTGATTAAACTGTTTTGATGATTTTTTTTTTACATTTATTGAAGCCTTTTCATACACTTTTAATCGTATTTGGAATTATATAATTAATGTGATTCTTTTATCATTTTATTTATAGCATGTGTGTCACCTGCAGACAATGTTGCTAACCATAATTTACAAAAAATCGCATTAAATGCACTGTACAACATTTCCACTCTGGGAAGCATTGAACAAATTAGAGTTCTTCTAAATCTAAAATTGTTGGATATATTATGCAATCATCTTAGCCAAATCAATTCCCATGAAGAAATTTTAGAAGTAAGTATTTACGCACCATTTGATTTTGTCACACTCAAGTTTTAGCTAAGCTTAAATTTGCTGCTATGGATGTTCATACACATCGTTATGTGGTATGAACAGTGATTTGGCTGGTGGTAAGCAGCAATATCAACAGCAGTAACTGAGCTAATTCCTTATTTATGTTCAATTGCTGATATATGAAAAGAATATTTTTTTTAAATTATGAATATAGTATTCAATATTTTTACAATGTCTGACGAAAGTGAAAAGATCTTTTTATAAAAAAAAAGAAAAAAATTATTCAATCACAGAAACCCCAAAATATGATTTTTTTATTGGATTCCAAAAAATCTACGGCAATTTTTGGATCAGCCAGATTTTTTGCCAACATACCCATGAATGTTCCACTTTAATGGATGTATATCAAAGTGGAACATTCATAAGTATGTTGGCGATAAATCAACTCAGCGATATCAGCCTTTTTGGACAATTTATCCCATAACTGCAACGAATATTTCAAATGCTCTTGAGTATTCACTTAACTTAAAAGAGAACACTGAAGAGCATTTAAAATATGCGTTGAAATATGCAGCAAACGCGAGGCAGCTCAAATCAACGGTTTTTTTTTTCAGTGTTCATTTTTATAATATGTATCATAGCATTGTACATTTTATTATGAATCTAATATTCATTTTTGCACAATGTGATTTTATAAAAAAATAAAAAAAATAAACGTCAATTTTCTTTTGAAAAATCAGTCTTTAGTTATTGATAAAAAAATATTTAAAAAAAAAACTATATTCACTATTTTTAGATTTCACTTGCGATGCTGAATACAATTTTGGTAGACTTTTATCGAAAAGACCATCATGCATTCCACAGAGTGTCGAACAAGATCATTGAACGTGGTAGTTTTTTGCCAATTAAACGGCTAACAGCGAACTACGATAACAAATCCATTTCAAGAATGGCAAATGAAATAATCAAATACTCCGAGGGAACATGCGAAAAATGTTATCAAATGACTACGCCGGAGATATTCGAAACAATGCAACAATGATCGCGAAATAAAGTCGAGGCTTGCATATAAAAACCAAATTGTATATCTAGAACGAAAATTATATAGAGAAAAACGTATTATAGCACATTGTGTGCAATATCGAACAAATGTTTATTAATGACAAATTGAATTGTTTCAATTAAATTAACCAAGTGCATTTTTGGCAACAACAAAACATTTAAATTTAGAAAAGTCTACCTAATATGACGATAGAAACGACTAAATATTTTTTTTTATAAATTAACTGTTGATATTTTTAAAATTATTACTACTTTACAAAAGAAAAGCGGAAATTCGAGTGTAATTTGTGAATTTTATAAAGTGTTATTTTATTGTAGTATAAGTGCGAAAATTTGAGAAATATTTTTTACTGATGAAGAAAATTATAATATAAAGAATAAATTTTCTATTGATTGTTTTCCAGGGCATATATCTTAATCTGCATGAGCTATGTATATTGAGTGCCTGATTGGACGAAAAATAAGTAAAATGTTTGTGTTTTTTTTCTGCACAATAGAAATATGTGCTTAAGTGCCTCTCATTTGAAATTGGTCGATGTGCATCTGTTGAGACATGCAAATGGATTTTATGTGGCTTCAAATAGGCCATTGAATTTGACGTTATACATACACGAAAAGAAAATTGAAGATGAACGGCTTATTATCGCTTTTACGAGGTTTACCAGACAAGCCCATGCTTTCAGACGTCGTTTTTTGTTGTCCGTTGCACAGAAAAAAGACAAATATACTATTTGGTATATGTTACGATGTAATGAGTCATTGCTAATGACGTGCCCATCAAATTTAATTAAAATTCAAAGTGACCGATGACAATAATTTATGCTTCAAAAATAAATTTAAAAAAAACATGACCAAAAATCATAATTCAAATATTCAAAGCACGCTTATCAATATGAATAAGCTATTTTTGTTTTTTGTTTTTTAATAACCACTTTGTATCAATAGTTTTGCAATAGATTTCATTTATATGTTAACTTTTTTTATAAAAATTGAAATCTAATAAAATTGTGTCTCTCCCTTTATTTTCCATATTTGCATATTCAAGTTTGCTTTTTGCCTCTATTCACATTTGAATAGTTCGTTATTTGACCTCAATTGAAGGTATTCGAAGAAACTAAAAGATCTGTTCCAATCGCAAGGGTAATAATACTTTGCTAATGTAATTAGCAACAATAAAATGAAGCAAATAACACATTCGCAATAATAGGCTCAAATGTGAATCAATCGAACAAATTACATTTTCTTTCTGTCTTCATTTGCATCGACCGACATTCAATAAGATTTTTAACAAACTCAACGATATTATGTATACAACCGATTTCGGAGCGCTATCTCGGAATTGGTTTTGTGTAAACGAAACGGAGCAAGCGGAACGTTCCGAGAATGGTACGAAACCGACCCAAGTATTTACGATTGAACGGCTGGAATTTGGATTGAAGCCTATGTTTAAAGAGAGAAATGAGGACAGAAAAGGGAAGATATGGAAAAGGCCACCCAATAATATGAGACAAAAGTAGTTTATTTGACACCGTTTTCGCGTGATACTACTGTCAACGATATCACCGATCATTTGAAGTCCCACCAGTGCTACAATGTTGTCGGTGATTTAAAGGTGGTCAAACTAGTGAGCCAAAATAAGGACACAAACAAATTATCATTCGTTTCCTTCAAAATTGAAGTGCCAAGTCGTTATTTTGACATAATTTCCGACAGTTCAATTTGGCCATCGGGCGTATCAGCCAAAGAGTTTGTCGATAAGTCAATGCCCAGCAAGAAAAATTCAATTTCAAACCAAATTCGCAAACCAACTCTCAAAAAATCAAAAAACATGAAGGTGGCCTCGTCCAATCAACCAAAACATCGTCGGAATCAGAGGCAATCACAGCAAATCCAAACAATATCACCGGAATTTCCACCGATTGCAAATTTGTTGCCGCTGCTGTCTCAATGCCTACTCAATCCACTCATCGCATCGTACAGTCAACCTCAACAAACTCGTCGCAAGTAAGCAACATAATTAACTCTCTCTCTTCTCAACTAACTTTGGTTTGCAATGATATTTACTATCAAAATGTTCGTGGCCTGCGTACCAAATCAAAACAATTTTTCTGCAATTCATCGGCATTTGCACATTCCATCGTAGTTTTAACGGAAACATGGTTGAACAAATCCCATTTTTCGTCAGAATTCTTTGACAACTCGTATGTTTACCGTAAAGATCGTCATGAGACTGGTTCCTTGTTGAGTCGTGGTGGTGGTGTACTCATTGCAGTCACCTCAAATTTGACATCCACCAACATTGTACTCGATGACTCAATTCATCTGGAATATGTCTGCGTTAAAGTCAACATTAATGCAAAACTTAATGCATTTATTTATGCTGCGTATATTCCGCCTAATTCACAACCGGATTTATACAAAAACCACTCGACTGCCATAAGCCATATTCCAGTGGGTCCAAATGACACCATCATTGTAATGGGTGATATTAATCTACCCCTGGTCAATTGGATAATGGATGACGCTGAACAAAACGTTCTCATTCCAACGTGCGTCACTCCACAGCATGTGGCTGATTTTATTGAAGACATCATCGAAAATGGACTTTATCAAATAAATTCAATACGGAACGCCGGTAACAAATTGCTCGATTTGATATTTACAAACGATTTCATAAATGTTGAAGTTACTTGCCCGCCACCTTTATCTGCCGTTGATGAACAATACCATCCACCAATCCTTCTGACGTATGAATGGCACATAAACAACGCAACTCAAGAGCAAATTACAACTCAAAACTTCTTCAAAGCCGACTATATTGCAATGAACAGGTACTTTGCTGAAATTGATTTTTCTCAACGTTTCTCGACCAAGTCACTTGATCAAAAAGTTGAAATTTTTCATCAAATTCTCAACGACGCGATCAATAAGTACGTGCCAATTCAAACGAAAAAAGCACAAACGAAATGCCCGTGGAACAATAAGCAACTCCAGTCTCTCAATTGTCCGGCGATGACTCTAACTATTTGATGGCACACGACAATTACACCACATTGAATTACGAACTCTACAACTCGTATGTCGACAAAATGACGTCTTCATTAAAGTCCGACCCCTCATCATTCTGGCGCTTTGTCAACACCAAGAAAAATAGTGACTGCGACCCAAAATTGTTACATTTTGGTGAGACATCATCGGGTGACAAGACGGAACAAGCTGAAATGTTTGCTACTTTTTTCAAACACAACTTCGCCAATCAACCGTCTCAATTTCAAAATTCAACACCCATTCCATCTCAAACGAACTCTAACGTGGACCAATTCAAACACAACGAATTTTCCGTTTTCGACGAGCTGCTAAAAATCAACACGAAGAAGGGGGCAGGTCCTGATGGAATTCATCCAACTCTACTTAAAAATTGTGCAGCCTTATTATACGAACCGCTATCGATAATTTTCAATGAATCGCTTTCTTCTGGTCATTTTCCATCAAAATGGAAGCGTTACAGCGTTGGACCAATTTTTAAAAAAGGATCTCGATCAAACGTGGAAAACTATCGCTGCATCGCCAAATTACCAACGATCGCCAAATTCTTTGAATACTTAATAAATTTGGAGCTGAGTAAAAGGGTCGCCAATAAAATCGTACCTCAACAACATGGTTTTATGAAAGGTCGCTCAACTTCGTCAAATCTTTTGGAATTTTTGCACTATTCCATAAAAGTACTGAACGATGACAAACAGGTGGAAGTACTTTACACCGATTTCAGCAAGGCATTCGACATCGTTGATCATTCGATACTCATCTCGAAATTACACAATTTTAATCTGCCGCCAAATTTAATCAAATGGATCGAATCGTACTTATCTAATCGTCGTCAATTTGTAAAATATAGACAGATGGAGTCAAAGGAGTTTGTCGTGAACTCTGGAGTGCCACAAGGAAGCCATTTGGGCCCCACGCTGTTTCTATTATTCATTAATGACATCGTAAATGCCATCAAAGATGACGATATCTTTATCTCTCTGTTTGCTGACGACTTGAAATTAACAACATCAATCGCTAATATCAACGACACAAGCAAACTTCAATCAGCAGTCAACAAATTAAAATTTTGGTGCGAAACAAACAAACTGCATTTGAACCTGGACAAGTGCTCAATCATGTCAATTTCGAAAAGGAGAGAGCAAGTTATGAACTCCTACTCTTATGGAAGTCACATCTTTAAGAGAGTGAGTGAACAAAGGGACTTGGGTGTCATCTTTGACAACAAGCTCAACTTTGTCAAACATATCGATTCAATTGTGATCAAGGCGACATCGGCACTCGGATTTGTCAAACGATTCTGCTACGACA